TTAATAAAATTGTCTTTTTTTTGAAATTAATTTAAATTCTCATAGAACTTAACTATGAGATCGGCTTTAAGATTCTTTGTATTAAGCAGACGAAACTTTGTCTAGTTGTGCGTGGATACTGCGCGATCGATGGTGGAAAAATAAGAAACGATGAAGACATTAAGAATGTAAAGAGAACGCTTGTGTCACGCGATTTAGTAGGCTACGGGGAGACGAAAGGGATACCAAAGTTGGACACTGACCAAATGTAAGAGCTTCCTAGCTTTCACCCTGATAACCTCCTTTGAGGGCGACACGTCCATCGCAATTTGTTGACCTACGCGCGCGTGCGTGAAAGAGAGAACAAACTTGGTCGACGAGCATTCTCTATTCGATATTTATATTAAATGTTTAATCGATACATTTCTACCTTTAAATATTTTTGTAATCTTTTCGCAACTCGATCAAAGCAAAAGTCCATTATTAAAACTATATTTACTATCAATATATATATCGTAGGCGAGGCATGCAAAGTTTGACGAGTGAATATTTTTTAAAATATCGATGATGTGGAAAAGATATTATTAAGCATTTAGTAATGTTTAAATCTGTATATACGAATCGCGTGTAATCAGGAAAATGAAGATAGAACCACTGGCACAATATCGAGATGAAATCTCGATATCGAATGTCATTTATATAGTAAATATAGTAGACTCTGTCGGTGATACTTTCCAATGACGTCGCACACGCACACATGTTCAGCGGCAAGCATATCATTTTGCACGCGTGTTTACGGGTCACGTTGCTCGCTGCTATTCATTCACGACCGGAGGTTCTACCCTTGTCGCACTCGATCGTATGAAACGGCAAAGGGCCCCGCCGTCTAAAGAAAGATCGTTGACGGGCGATATTCCTGAAAGATCCTCTTTAATATTTCCTTCGTGATGGAATGGCTTAGCTACGTCGCTTAGCGACGTGATGATAATAAAGCGAGCACTTAGCTGGCACCGAGTCACAGATACAGGGTCGCGAAAAGCTAATAATCTTAATTTCCCTGATTACGGTCGGATCGCGTAATGCTATTTCCGGTACTTATAATCCAGACATGTTCAATTATCTCGTATACTTTTGAGTTCTAAATTACATTATCATTTTATATTTTTTTTTGATATTATGACATGTCGAAGTGAAGAATAAGATTTTCTTATCGATATATTTGATGTTTAATTCGGTTTTATTTTCAAGCGTCTCTCGATTAGTATAAATGTTTTAATTTTGAAATATAGATTGATCTCACCAATTTATTTTAATTTAATTATACGAATTTTAAATATAAATATAGCAATAAATGCTCTTTATTCGCGAAACAATGCAAATTATTTTGATGAGGAAACTTTTTAATTGCGCACATAAAATTGTGAAACGAAAAGACAATGTAATATAAATTTTTCTCGACACGCTTCTGTCATCTTTAAAAATGGATTTTCCATATAGATTTTCCGTGCGCAACGAAACACATTACATATAACGCTACATTCTATCCTAAAACTCCCTATACGACAAGATAATTCGCTGTCGTAAGCCAGATGTGTACCGCGGAAGATACGGCCTCCGCGAAACCCTCTGTAAGGACAATGCGCCGTTGGCGATCTCGGTACAGAAAGAGAGAAAGGGGATGCACACGCGCACCCGCTCGACGGCGACCGAGGGGGTGAACGGAACAGAACAGAACGGAACGGAACGGAACAGAGAAGAGCGAGAGAGCGAAAGCCGCGGCGCTGTAACTCCCCACTCGGCTCTCTCATCCCCTAGCGATGTACTGACGGAGAGAACGCGCCGGAGGGGTGGCAGCAGCTCGACGGGCGGCGGTGGCTGGCGACGGAGGCAAAGAGGGAGGGTGGTAAAGGCGCATGCCAGTTGGGCCCTCGCCGCGCTACGAGTCGGGCAACCCTAGAATTCTCTCTCACCCTCTCTCGCCGGAACAGTCGCGCGACGTTAACCCTCCTTTTCGCGAGCGGCAGACTCGGACGGAGTGCGGAAAATTCCGGCGACCGCTCTCTCTCTCTCTCTCTTTCTCTCTTTCTCTCCCTTTCTCTCGCGTCGGTTTGTCAATAGAAGAGACCGTGCCGCGTATCGCAGTGATAATAATCGACCGATAATCGCTCGTCTTTCCGGCGCCGTTTTTTACGCGTCCACGGTCAAGGGGATCGACTGCCGTTCGTCTCGTACGCGCGATCGAGCGAACGAATCTCATCGCTTCCTTCGTCGAAATCGAGGAAGTGGTGCTGTAGCAAAGCCGCGTCGTCGGTCGCGATGCCGCGACGTCGCGCGGACGTCGCCCCGCGATAACCGGCACGTGATCGTGCACCGGCTGTCCTAGGAGAATCGTCTTCCGATGTGCCGTCGAACGTAATTATTTTATGAGATGAATGTCTCGTGATAGAAGTTGCTTGTAGCGAAGTCTCGTCGCAGCGGTTAAATATGCAGTTTGTTACCGTGCATCCGTGGCATTAGTCTCTATCGATAAAATATTTAAATTCCATATCATTATTGCGTATTTAAAAACAGATGTGACTGCGTCCAAGTCTCTTTTCATATTCAGCGTACGGTTCTTGTATTAGGCAATCAAGCGTAAAATCGACGATGGACTCATTTAAGATAATTATGCGACGATAATATATCTGAATATCGAGTATATCCTATACATATTTAATACAATTTATATTATCAATAAATAGTCTTTTAAAAGAGACTTTTGTACAATGTCGAGAAAGATAATTTGAAGAAAATTTATTGTATAAAATTGACATATGCGTTTTCTCGCCAATTATTTTATTATCCACGAAAATTTTTATATCGAAAAATAATCGCTGGAGAAAAATTTGTTCGAATTGTCTGTATGTAAATTCTGGCATGATCTTCGTATCACGTATTACGGAGTATTCTCGCTATTCTTCGATTTTCGCCGCGACCCGAAAGTTCACGCGAAAGGACAACGTACTCTGCAGCAACATTCGAAAAGGGTTGTTCGTGGAAGGCCAAGGGCGACGAACTCGCTTCGGGAGTTGACGAACGAGCGATCGGTCCTTTCGCGGAGATGAAGGTTTGCAATATTTAAGCCACTGAGGTATTCAGGACGCGCATTAATTTCGACGGAGGCGGAGGAGCTCCGTGTGAAAAATGCATAAATTCCATTCCTTCTCCGGTTAATTTATTCCGTAACCGTCGTCGCGACACGCGGAAACGAATGCTAATCGGGTGTATCCTCTTCCCCTGGAGCGTGCTAATTCGTGCGAGGGTCGAAGACAAGGGTGCGAGGGAAGGAACATTGAAGGATGCAAACGCGGAGGAGTTGAAATCATTACAATACGCTCGAGACTAATTTGCCCTTTATCGTTAAATGCATCTCGTTGAATACGCTACATTGTTTTCACATTTCCAATGTCAAATTGATTCGACATGTTTGTACGATTTTATACGAACGTCTCTGTGACTATATATTTGCGATTTCCTAATTCGTATCGGAGCTGTCAAATTCACGTTCGTGTCGCGACGAGGCGTGTTCCTCGATCGATGTTTTAATCGAGAAAATAGTCCGAGTGGAACCGCGTATTTATGGTTTTATCGGCGCGAAATGTGTAACATGGCAAAAACGGAATAGAGGATTTGCTCGTTCGAGGACAGAGTTAAAATCGATGTGGAAACGCTTATGCTTTGGTGGTAGCTGTTACGTTACCTGTATCGTTACCTGTTATCATGTTATTTTTTTGTCCGAAACTTATTTAACGCACTTAATGTCAGGATTTAATTCTCGTTACGTTGAAAATTATTCTTTATTAAGTTAAACTAAATTATTCGTGTTTTATACGCTATTTATATATCAATTTTTTCCACGGAATAGTATCTTTCATGTAGAAAATATCGTATTTGCCATTAAACTCTCGCTCGTAATATATATAACCGGCTTTTTAATAATTACCTGAAAGGTTAAACAGATTACACGGGAAAGCTATTAAAAAATCAGTGCAATCCAAACGATGCGAGTTACGCTCCTACGAGCGAAAATAATTGAACGAGGGAATTTATATTTTGCGTCAAAAAAGGAAAATATTGCTAAGAGACATCGTTGCTTCTTATATATATATATATATAGTGACAACCTTTTGATATAAAATCAGCGGTGGTTACTGGAGAACGTAGTTTTAGCGGTAACCTGATTATTCATGCATTCGACTAGCAACTCCGCCAACTGTTTTCGATGCAAGCTTTACATGCTGCCGAATACATTACGTCGCGCGTAGGAGCGATGATGTGACGGAAAGACAGTGCTCCTCTCTTCTTTATATTCGTAACAAGCTTCCTTAAATTACCAATAATGTTATAGATCACGCAGACTATAGAGAGAGTATAGAATATAATACTTCATCTTTTATCAAAGAAATTTGACTACACACGTGTCTTCTCTTTATGCGAGTTTATAAGAAAGATGGAATACAAAAAAAAGTAGATTTCATCTATGTGCATCATTTTTATTTTTATCTTTATTTTTGGAAATTAAAAAAAAAAAGAAATCTTTTGTCTCGTTAAAGGAAGAGAAAATAGTAGACGGAATGAATTTTTTATTTTAAATAGAATAAGAATTGAGTAAACGAAGTAGACAATTTTCAGTCGAAGAATGCGACGTATTTTAATTGTATATCATGTGTTATTATACGTGGTACGAAAATTTAATGAACATCAAGCCGTTTTCAGTGCAGCTGCGGAAACCTTGTCAGACGGCTTTTAATATGTCTTGGTACACATCGTCGACCATTTAAATGAGTTTATGATCGATTTATCGCTTCGAGAGGCATCCTCGTCTGTCGGAGTATTCATTTCCGGAGAAATTTAACTACTATGTGCGTGTACGTGACGAACGCATACATATATTATAGATTTAAATTTTATGGTGCGACGAAGAGACGAGAAACGGCTGCCGCGACGTCTCTTTATTTTCATAAATGCATGACAATCTTGGATAAACGATGATAGACCTACATACTCGACTAACATAACGAGTTTAGTAAAATGGTTATCAATTGATATTCGATACGTGGTGAAAGTCTTCGCATTTGCTTTTCAATTTTTTGGCTAGACATGTTTTTTTTTATGAGAGTGAACGTAAATAAATGTATTTTTTATTGGGCAAAATGTAATTGATGTATTACGTTACCGGTGATGCAATTGCAGCGATGAATTTTGAACTTGTTTGAATTTTATTCACTCGCCGTGCTATTTTTACAAAATATACATGTGTCGCGAGGTAGATTGTGGCAAGAATGGACGCACGCCATTTTCCGTCACAGGGCTGTTTATATTAATACAGGACATTGCATGTTCTCGCTGCGAGGGAAACGACATTTCCGCGCGACAGGTAATTTGCTATTCCGCTTTAGAATTAGCTGACTAATTGCCACGGGTTTACGATGAGAACGAATTCAAAGCTCGATAGGGATACACCGCGTATACGTATCACAACACGTGTAACGCTTTGCCCAATGAGTTTCATGCGTGAATAATTTTCGCCGCTCCAGCTTTCGTATTTATCGTACGTTAATCTTAATATTAACAAATTAATGAAACGCAGACCGTGAACGTGACAAAATTCGCGTTAAGTTGTACTTTGTGACAACAGTGATAACGATCACCGAAACTACGCGAACCCCAAGAGGGGTTTATTATCGTCGATTTAAACATGACATCGAAGCATCTCGACTTATCATTGAGACTACTAACGGATAACGCTCGAACGCGCTGTTCGCTCAAACGTCGAGAAAAGTCTGAACGAGCTTTCTAAAGTCTGCTTCGTGTAAACTTTGTACGTGCGAAAATGTAACAATTTCGTCGATCTACGAGGATTTCTACGATTGCGATTGAAGGATTCGCACGGAGGAAAGTACTAAAAACGCTCGAGGATATCATTCGATGTGGAAAACGCGCAGTCAACATGTTCGCGTGCCTGTGGAATTTCTTCGACTGGTAAGAAGCAATAATAACATCCATTTGTTATATATTGGCGATATAATACGCGGAAAACATTTATTCAGAACATCGCCACTCCTCTTCTTTCTTCTTCCAATAATATAAACCGAGACTGCCGAGACGTCTTATATCTATCTCTTATTTTTCATCTCTTATTCTTTGCAATACACGGAACTCTATAGATTCTTGCTTTTCCGGTTGTGAGGAAATGAATTTTAATTAATATTAATTGCAACACCGTAAACAAACAGCAGTTGAAAAGGAATACACAATTAAAATAATACTAGCCTCGAATACTAGGTTGATGACCGTATTACGTGACGTTTTTGCGGCAACTCAAAACGCTTTCCCTTATTTCCGTGTGCATTAATTCACAGAGGCGGAAATGAGAACGATGGAATCCCTTCGGTCGACTGCAACTTGGCATTGCATAATTCGGAAACGGATTAACGGGGCGCGCACGGCACGGAACAATAAATCTTTTTCTGCTTCGCGCCGCCTTCAATTAGACTTATATTAGTTTATTATTTGAAATATTTACTCATCTCCTAGCGCCTTATTTCCTAAGCGTTCATCTCTCTCTCTCTCTCAATTTTTTTTTTATTCACTATATTTTTCTCCAATTACGAGAGAGAGATGAACTCGAAAGAATTTTATTCACAGTGCTGTGCTCCGTTGATACCGTCATTCATCCCTTATCTTCGTTTAACGCGCGAAATATTTTGAGACAATCGAAAAATGGAAAAAAAGAAGCTTTGCAATGGAAGCATAAAAGTTCAATGCAATCGATATCACTAGACTATTTGACACAGCAGATTCTGCCTTCGTCTTTTATTATTTTGGTTTTCCGATTATTTTCAGTCCTCGTTATTTCGTCAAATCCTTCGTTCCCTTATTATTACATTAAAAAATGCTCAGTTGTAATTAAAATTGGAGAGTGGGGGGAAACAATGTAAGATATATATTACAAAAGCGTTGTCATTGATCCATGAAAATATGCATGAAACGCAAATAGCATCACCCTCTCCTTTCCCTAGATAATTGGACAAAACAAATGTATACTGTTTTCATATCCATGAATATATTTCGTTTATATTATTATTTGGTCTAATCTTTTCGCGATCGGTATCTTTTCATAAAACATGTCCAGCTCTAATTATTCCAAAATACATAAAAATATGTACGGTATAAAAATATTGCGCAGATTTTCGACGAATGCCTTTTATTTTCTCCATCATGGATTTGAAAAAAAATTCAAAATCCTACAGAAAACTTCGACAGCTTAGCTTTAATCGCTTCAAGATTTATGCTAAAATATGAGACACATATAATACGAACGCGCTTCATCTCAATTTTGATCTCATCGAAAAGAATGATAAAAAGCGAATCTCGCAGGACAATCGAAATAGATTTTTCGACTGCGCTTTATCGAGTGCATGAAAAGCGTTTTAAAATTGATTCTCCCATCATACTCATAGAAAGATATCCGTTTGAATATTCCTAGTATATAGTTGAGCGAATATATTTCCTTACGTATGAATAAAAACTTGCCTTTGAAAATGTTTGACGAAACGCTAGCTTGTATCTCTTTTCTCTCTCTCTCTTTTTTTCGTGCCTCTCTTTCTAGGTTTTGCGATACACCCGCTGGATACAAATTATACGCGCGAATCATATTGTCGCATTTATATCGCGCATGCTCTCGAGATATTGCCTCGATACTAGAACCTTTTTATTTGGCTTATATACCGTGTTGGTGAATGTACATACGAAAGGGGAATCGGGCATACGGAATACAACAAGGATCCGACGAGATTGCATGGGAAGCGATGCATTGTAGCCTACGGGAGATAAAGGAACGATTGTTGTCGATAAGGGAGTGAAGTGCGTATATGGGTCAAGTGCTTTTTACGGCCTCGGTAAATTTGATTAACGTATATACAGCCGGGGTAGTATCTCTCTCTATAGTCTCTCGCGTATTTTTTTCTATAATCTCCTAGATTAAGATTAAGATGATTTTATTAAAATGAAAATTAATCAAGGAGAAGAGAGATAATTATACAAGCATTTGTGTGTACGTCATATCTATACATATTCTTATTCGCATTTATATCTTATGTATTTTATGGTAGTTGTTGCACCGAGGCAAACTCGTAACAAAATGTTCATCCGCGAAACTATTTGTAGGAACGGGCTGCAACTTGACAAACATAATTAATCTCGGCGCTTTCTCTCGTTTCATTATTTTATTGTACAAGTTCATTTTATGTAGCATCTTCCGGTAGCTCGCCCATAGTTAAGTACGTTCTGTTCGAACAATGCGACGGGTTTCCACTATTTTCAGCCGGCTAGGCCGACTTTCGCCATGGTTATCGATCGGCTACCTAGGTCAACGAATGTGGCGAGGATTGCACTCGCCGGCAAGACTTCGATTGTTTGACTGCAACACGTGCATTACTATATCATGCGCGTTATAAAGGTCTATTCACACGTATCGCTGACTTGTTCGGTATAATAGGACGATAGCATTGCAGTCACGTTATTACGATATTTGCGCTTCGTTGATTGTCGCTCATGTACAAACAACTCGATTAGCGCAACGTCAATCGTGTACCAGAAGACAATTAAAAAGATTACGCGTATAGAATTATTGAAGAACATTATATATTGAGATTCGCACGAGATGAATCGTACATATGCGGCACAAATATTTACAGATTTAAACGATTCTATATTATATCGAACGCGATTATGTATTATATCACATTATAAAATATTATTAATTTAAGACTTCCAACGTGTAATTGATTATGCAAACGAGATTAATTATAGTATTGAGATTACTTACAAAGAGTTCAATACAGGCGATCTACGAATGTCATCGTTGCATGCAATATTCATGTTGCGAACCTAAATAATTATAATCAAGATTGACGTTACATTCTGAGATATTGATATCACACTTGTCGTTTTGACGCAATTCTTCAATAATTACGTTACTCTAATTAACTTTTAACATTCATTTACTCAAATTTATGATATGCATACTATTGACAAGATGAAAATTTTTCTAAAACAGATAGGGGGAAAAAGATTATTTTCGAAAAATAGTAGCACTTGGTTCATCGAATACTACAAAGGTAACAAGAATGTGGAAATTACGATTCTCTCGAAAAAGGAGGGGAATGTATATTCTGTTTCAATTACACTCCTGGGATGCTGTGAGAGGAAGCGATGCGTTTGATATATATATATATATATATATATATATATATATATATATATATATATATATATGGTACCGCGATTGACAAGACGCCATGTATCGATCTAAACTCTCGTGTATACTCATCGCTCTTCGAGCTTGTCGTAATAATTAACTGACAAGCTCGTTGAGTTTATAATTGACATTGGTAAATAAACTTTAAATTTTTGATTGAACGCGATTTTAGTTTCGATATATTTTAGAGAAATTCCGTCAATAACAATTAGATTATGAAATAAATTTTTGCTAACATGATTTTTTTTAGAAATTACCATTCAAATTTTAAATAATCATCATTTTCGCATTAATTTGTATTATATAAACTATTTATCAAGTAGACACTGTTTATAATTGTATTTTCATCGACATCTTATTGAAATTCATATTATTTCTTATATCTTGCTTATATCACTGTCCAAAGAAGCGTCTCGTGTAATATCGGTTAGCCGATAACCATGATTGTAAGCTGCGAGATAAGGTTTAGTCTCGCGATCAATATTCAGCAGGGAGTCTGACAAAGTAACAGGATGCATCCGCCGGAAAGTTAACATAAATTTTCCAACTAATATCCTGTCTAGGGTTGCACGAAACCCAAGACAAGACAATATTCGCAAAAATATTGTATTGGTCTTGAAAATTTTAATCTTGTCTTGTTCTTGAGAGGATTTTTGTATCAAAGATCTTGTCTTGTCTTGTCTTGTCTTGTCTTGATTTTTATTAACAGTTTTTATTTAACACTGAATTGTTTGTCAGCTTGATAAAAAACAGAAAATAGTAAGTATATCTGATTTCTTCTGTTATCCGAAGCGCCGAGCACGATTTTCGCTTGTTCTTTACTGCGTATGCTCACGTCTCGATTGTGCAGACGCAGTGACGCAGTTTATACACAGAAGAACAGCGTACACATCGCTGTTGTGTATAAAGCAGCTCTTACAATTAGTTCAGACGTGTTCGCGCAGTTTGTATTAAAAAAAATGAAACGTAGTAAATCTAATACAGAGTCCATAAAAAAAACTAAACCAAGTTCTTCTGCTGAACATGCAAACATTTCCGAAAGTGATAATGACAGTTCGGAAATATCTCGTGCAACCCTAATCCTGTCTTATACCGTTAAGCACGGCATGCTTATAAATTAGCTTCGGCGTGCGTAGTTTATTTTGGCTTTACTTCCAATAATTTCCATTAAACTTATATTGTCCGGTCTCCAAGCAACCGACTGTCCTCCGTGAGTCACTCGGCAGTTGATTCCACGAGGCGAGCATAAAGTTCGCCGATAAATTTCTTCGTGGTGATAGTAAGCCGTCCGTCGACCGCGGTTGCGGAAAAGGCTGCGAAGGACGCGGAGAGGAAAAGAGAGCGGAAGTCGGCTTTATCGACTATATAGACCTCGCGTATTGAAACCTGCAGGTACCCAGACGCGTGCTTCACGCTCGTAATATTTTTTGTTTGTAACTCTTCGAAATTGAAAAGAAGAACAGCGTGTGTATTGGGAAACAACACGTATCTATTTCGCATGCAAACTGCCGGAAGAGAGAGAGAGAGAGAGAGAGCAAAGCGGGGAAGCAACGCGTTTTCATGGAACCGCACACTATCGAGGATCCTCTTACATCTTCTCCGAATATGAACCGCAACGAGACGAGCAAGCACTTGGCATCGGTTTACGCGACGAGGGGCTTTCATCCGGGATGCAAAAATATTTGCGAGTTGTTGCGGAGAGGAGGCTTTTTTCCATGCGCGTCTAGTTGCATCGCTCCTTTTTTCCCTATCCATCCTCCCTTCCAGCCGCAAAGCTGTCTCTCGTTTTCTACCATTAGGCTCGTCCTGGTTTATTTTCTCTATTCCTACTTTCCTGGTGCTGGCGATCTTTCATACAACTAAACACGCACATGCATATGTAACTCGTCTCTAAACGAGATGTGATAAAGAATAACATAAAAGTTTACGCAAGTGTATAAATCTGATATATACGTTCGTTCGTGAAAAATATGTTGGTATAAAAAATGATAAGCTTTAAATTAATTAAATTATTGCATTTTTCCTTGCAAAATGTATACTTAAAAAAATGGGATGTATGCGACCCGGGATTGGATACATATTTACACATGCTTATTCAAGCGATTACTTCACGGTCGAGGTCTAGGTTCATATGTAGCTCCACACGCTAATTTTAAACTGACCTTCTCGCGGATGCTGCAATCCGACAAGGTCAACGGTAAAAAAAAAATCAGTTTATATAGCCGACTTTTATATTATATATCACCATCTCCGTCGTTCGCCTATTAGCAATTTATCGGCGTCCAATTATTCGCAGCGCTCCTTCGCGTCTATTTCCGTAGGATATCGATATTGGATACTCTTGTTACAAATTTTCTGGGTCAACTGACAGGGTGAACTTAAAGGATCGCGGGCGTAATCGTTCTACGACGATATCGTGCGAGGGAGTAAATTTTATCCGACGCACTAAAATATCAGAAACTGGCAGCACAGATAGAATGATGTTTAAATGACGTTTTAATGTAATTACTATCGCGTAGATTTGAAGCGTGTCTAATTCACGTGCGCGGATAACTCGCTAGATCGTATTAAATTCTCATTTTCAGATTACCAAAAAGCTATGTCACATGCATTGCTGACATTTTTAATTGTCCGCTTTACTTTGTCCCTCTCACGCGTCATGTCACGTTCAACGCATAATCACTCTAATTTCATTATCGCGTGCGATGTACGGTAGTGTTGTATTACGGTAAATATGTATCCGCTCGTACCATGAATACTGCAATAAACGCACAAAGAATAACGAACAGCTTTTTCTACAGCGCTTCTACCCGTTCCAAGCGCACGATACTTTGATGTCGGTTTGTAGATGATGCGTTTGAAAACATTTTATACAATTATCTTCCGTATCGTAACGTTTTATTTTCCGCCATTAAGCGCCTAAGCGATTATGTCAGACATTCACATTCCATCAAAATATTTTTGATTTATTTATTTAGTCCTGAAAATACGCCGAAAAATTAAATTGTTAAGCTTGACAGAATCGTCATCGACTTTTAATAATTTATGGTTGAGATGGCGGCAGGAAATTTTCATGGCGTTCTGTATAAACGAGTAGAATACAAAATGACAAATTAGGAGGTTCCCGTCGTAATAAGAATTGGAAAAGATGAGTGCGATTGATACCATCGCGTGGCGTACGGACGTTCAACATCGCGCCAGAAATAAATGAGTGTACAACGTCGAGCTACATCAGAGGGATACAATCGTGGCGCATCGCGCCGCATCGCGACGACCCAATTTCGATGCGCAAACGTCAAAGTAACGTACGGTGCATTTCGAGTGCATTCGCGCGCGACGCGACGCAGGGGTTGTTTATATTCCCTCCGCGAAGTCTCTCCTCGTAGAGAACGGCGCCTGATTCTGCATCATTAGATGTCACGTATCGCGCTGCCACGCGTACAACGCAATGATCTCGATCGATCGAGACCACGCGTCGCGTTTATCACTGCTGAAAATTACGTGCTTGTCTCGTGTGCATCTGCAATCAATTGCATCGCGATAGAGAGACAAGCTTGAATAGAGCTCGCGGTTCATTTTGATCAACGCGTTCGCTAGCTATTGCATTTTAATTATAATCAGATTATTATTATGTGTTGGAATATTTCTGAGTAAAAACACTTGGCATTTTTAAAATTTAAAATGTTATAAAGAGTATAATTTTGATTCGAAACAAATTTATCGTACTCGTGGATATTATTTACGCGCACACATGGATATTATTATGTGTCTCATATCGCATTTGGACTCTATAGCATCGATTAAGGAGGATTGCGCGAGATTACAATCATTAAAAAAATATTAAAAAAAAAAAATCAATATATAACACTGCCTTTTATACGGGACCTTCAACATGAAGACTCGGAGTTTCGAGCAAACTTGTGCGGAGGAAAATAGCGGTATGGCGATTACGGAGATGAAAACAACTCCATTAGCGTACTGCGGTTTAGTACATTGGTTTTTAATTACGTTGTGAACTTTGGCGTGATATTTCTCTTTCTCTTTCTACCACTAGAGCAGCAATTCTGTGCCAATTAAGGGCAGTCATTAAAACCGCGTATAATCGCGATATATATATAATTTCGAACGGCGAAATGCGAATCACGCAATATGTGGAGTGTATCTAGAATTTCATTGTAATGCTATTTCGCTCGCTATTCCGGGTAAATGACATTAATCATTTAGACGTTAATACGTTTCATCGATATCGCGCATCGCGCGCTCTGTTACAGTCGATTATCTTAGGGTCGTCTAAACGCGATTAGAACTCTAATGTCGAGTAAGGAGATCAGCGGGTGGCGTTCGATGGAGCGAATTGGAAACGGATGACAAACAGAACCGGTCAATCGAATCTGCGGTTTCGGCAAACCGTGATGCATTTCCATCATCGCTTTCAGCTTTCGAGGCTTGGTAAAACGAATCGACAATTTTTAGGTCGATCTCGCGTAGTCATCGGATTCGCCAGTTCCGCAATTAGTGCGCGAAAATAAAGACTACTTGACGACAGAAATTTACAAATCGATCTGTTTTTATAAATTATAACATTTATTTTAATTATAATTTCTTTTTAATTAATTAGTTGGAAAGCTGGTGAGATGTACTCCTATAGAAATGCGCCATTTTATTCGAAAAAAATACAAAAAATTCTGGAATTTGTAATATGTGGAAAGTTTTTCATAATTTAAGGCTAATAATTGAGACGATAGATAATAGATATCGAACTGAATATCGAATACCGTACTTGGCACGATATCAAATGAACGCTCATTATATTCTGATGGCGGTTGGGATGGGAAGGTTCCCATATTGACGTTTCAATTATCGATGTTCGAAAACGAAAACTCTTGGATCGAGCACTCGGCGGCATCAATTCATAATAATTCGTACAATTTTGGGGGCCAACGGCATATAAATCACACAAAATGGACGATAAAAAGATGCAAGTTTTAATATCGGCGTACCGACATTGTGCACGGAATGGAAATGGCATTCGATCAACGGCCGTCGAATCTCTGTTGTGTCGCGCGTCGCCCGATGCGCACACGTGCTCGTCCATCTCGTTCACGTGCGTGTATTTCGTCACGTGCGGCGTTCGGTCTACGCACCGTTCATGTCGCTTCTCTCAGGAATAAAATCGTTCGGGATGCGATAAATCGATCTCTCGCGCTAACCGAAGCGACTTTCCAAACGAATAACTCCACGTCATGTCGCGCAACTCTGTACATCGCGCTTTCCGACCTGCAGCCTTGGTTAATAAAAAGCGATGGCTCGCGTTATGTGCTTGACGCATATCCGTTTACCTTTGCCGAAGGGCATCCCTGCCGTGGTGTATTGACCCTTTCCTTTCTGCAGTAGTAGGGAAAAATTCTTGTTCAATGGGTATCGTAACAGGATGAGATAATCTTTCCTGTATAAAAATTACACAAAGGCGACACATCACGTAATTACATTAATTTTTTTAAACAGGTAATAACATAAAAATATGATTCTCTTTTTCATAAAAGAGGGTTATACTGTAATAAAAAAAAAAAGGCTCCATATATAATATAATATACGCCATATAAAAGTTCGATATAAATATATCTCTCTTAAAATAAAAAATTTATCGTAAAATTTTATCGTAAAAGCGATTCGTGAATATACGTCGAGTTTTCTAAAGGAAGAATGCGCGCGTTTTATTCAGAATTACATTATTCTAATAGCGGTCACTATTAGATAGAATGTCAGTTCTTCTGCGGAAGTTTGTCGAATGAAACTTTCATATTAGAACATTTTTTTTTTCTTTTTTTGACGAGGCGATATTGAACGGTCTCTGCGCCAGCATGGTCAATAAATTTTCAATGCTCTCATACCAAAAAAGCGCCGATGGATAGCTTGTTCCGTCGGTATTGTTTTAGAATCGAGGTCGAGATTCGTCTGCAAGTTGCGGAAGCGGAAAGTGACGATCGAAAGATTATTGAGGAGATTATATTTTGATGGCGGAGAAATCTAGGAGAAAATACAGCGAGTATAATACCATGAAAAAGCGGTGACAGAATAACGAGCGAGATATTTATAACATATCAGATTGACGAGATTTACTTGTTGTTATAAATGTAATATACAGTCATGCGTTACAATAGGTATTTTTTTGTTGTTGTTGCAGGCTCGACCAGCCGGTGACCAGCTCAACACCTGGAATGGACAACAAAAAGGTAGATAAAACATGCTTGATATATTAAATATTTATTATCATTGATATACAATAATTTTTCAATATCTCGTATACAATTACCGAACTAATTTTTTCTCGTGATACGTATCCGATAGAACTCAATCTTGTAATGAGGTCAAGCTATAAAATTGGCAATGTCGCGTCGTAGGAAATTGCATAACGTAGCTCAGATCGCCATAAATAATGGTCGATCGATTATTACCTACTGTTTGGAACCGCAATGTTTAATGAGTTGCATGCGGTATGCGAGCCTTTGTGAACGAGAATGGCGGAGTTTAGCGCGAAACCATCGGCGCTCCCAATTAGACGCATCGCTCGAATTAGCGACAATTATCTCATTGGGACTAATGGCGAGGGATACGTATCGGCGATACGATTAAATCCTATATAAAAGGCAGAGAGAGAACCGAAAGAACGAGAATTTGTCTGAAAAATTCGGCCGCTTTTTTCATCCGCGAAACCAAGTTTTCCTTAGGATCGGCAAATTTTGGAGTCTCGTCTTTTTTATCACATCGAACCGCGTATTCACTTTTGTTATCGGGTTTTTGTAATTTAACGGATTACTCAACAACTCCTCTTCTTTGTCCGGCTTTTTCATGGAATGACGAAAATTTGCGCTGGAAAATTTCGAGACAGACGATCGCGCAAACGGATGAGACAGCGAGCGTGCGCTAATATTTCTCGACAGCTGCATAATATTTTAGAAGTAGAAAATTGCAAGATTTCAGGGAAGAATCGATCGTACGATTTCGCCTCGACGTATATATGCATATTGTTATTATTTAATGTATCCCTCGGAGGCGTGCAAACATCTTTGATATAATTCTATTTTATTTATATTGCGATTTATATAAAGGTACTCTGTACAGTGCTTCGCATATTATATGCGAATTTTAGCTTGCATTTTCTCAAAGATGTATTCGCGGCGCTTTATATTCTTGAAAAATACAGGTCGCGTTATCGGCGTTTCGGAGAGAGTCAAAGAACTGCAAGCGTCCGGAAAGGAAGTGTTTTCCGGAACCTTTCTTTATGCCTTTCGATAAAATGTACGAGTCTCATGTTGACGAAAGCTTTTCCAGGAAGTAAAATCTGCTAGATATCGCATCTGAAGACACAATAGTGTCTGAGTAAGGAGAGTTTGTATAACGTTGTCAGAATAGAGATTGTCGATATCAGTTCTCTCGATAAATGCATTTATATCATCTCGCAACTTATTGTTGCTTGTTATTTACGGTTTTTCATAACGTACGAAAAAAGAAAAAATAATGACGGAAATTCAATGGCGACATATTTATTTCAAATAAAACTTGCGAACGTCGTGTGTGTAAATGATTTTTCATTTTGCTGACTGCATTTGGGATCGAAATGTCACGAAAAATTGCGAAAGAAAAAGAAAACCAATTGAGGCCAAGCAAGATAGAGTGTGCGGTAAATTATCCATTTTTACGTCAGGGATGGAATTTTTCGAGTATTTCCACGGACCTCGTCAATCTTTTGTTGTACCGGGATTGGTTTTTGCGCATGTATTTTTAAAGCAAATGAAAGAAAGAGACAAAGGGAAATCGATAACGAACTGCATAATACACCGGGTCTATTTCCAGGATTAAATCCGACCGAACTTGCAAAAGCACGCGCGCTCTTCTCGTTGAAAATGCATGCCACCCCGCCTCTGCGATACACGTCTATCAAGTAATTAGTTATTTAGTAGTGTTTTTGCTCATCAAATGTCAGCTCGCATTTTTTATTTCTTCCCACGCGTAGCATAACAAGAAGAGAAAAATCGAACGGATTGGATGAATTTCACGTTCAAATGGCGATCGCGCTATTGTCTTCTTCTTTTCTCATTCTCGTTTCATTCATTCTTCGTTGGCTTTTCATCATCGAATATACGTTTCGAGTGGCACGACGAAATTTTCGTCGGCTAACAAGAGTTTTCACGATAACCCGACGCGTTGCCAAGCGGAAAAGTGGATTTCGATCAGCTGCATTTAGGAAAGCACCGAATAAAAGATACCGGGAGATTTCGGTCACGTGTGTCGGCGACGAGACGCGATTTCAAATTTTACCAAAGATTTATAGCTCTACGTCCTTTTCTCGGGGATATCGTATTACATCTGTCTTGCTTGAAAAATATTTAAACCTGTTTGATATTTCATCTCAACGTCACACGCCGTGACAGGCGTCTGTCCTGTAAATCACGACCGTTTCCTATCGCCCGTATACATTTGCAAAAGCTGATAATAAAATATTCAACCATATTTCTATATGTCACATCAACTGGATGGATTTTTCTTATTATATTTATATATATCTATATATATATATATCTACTTTGTATATTAATAATAAATATATACCAGAGGTACTCTGCAAATCCTAGGATCAATTTTTGCTTAATGAAAATTTGATTAGATATCACGTTTACTCACGATCCCTTCAAGTTTTTACACAAAAATTAAATACATAAAGTAAATTACAAACTACAAAATTTTCCGAAATGGATTAAAGAATAACAAGCCATTAATCTTAAGGGATCTTTTTTCTTCTTTTTTTAAGAACGGGTTTCGCACATTTGTTAAATTAAAATTAAACTTTACCGCAAGATTTATAATTGATCGTTCCTGTAAAAAGACGATTTTTATTTTTATTATACAGATTGTCCAATCGGCTACGCCGCCCGCTGTACCTGTCCAGGTACGTAGCAAACACGATGGCTCGGGAGTGGCGGCTTCCATATCGGGGGTGCGCAGACGGAGCGGTCCTCAAGGGGGACTGCGTTCGCCCGCTGCGAAAAGGCCCCTCTCCGCCCCCGTTGCACTTCAGGGCTGGTTGCATAAGCAAGGTTCGGAAGGTCTCATGCTCTGGAAGAAACGTTGGTTCGTTCTCTCCGAATACTGTCTCTTTTACTACAAAGGTAAGTGTGCGCTATTGACATCTTGTTTTTATTTTGAACATTTTAGCTTTGAACTTTTTCGCTTTTTTCCCCATTATTTTTACGATGAATACGACGCTAATGTATGCCAGTTTTAATAAGCATGATTATTCGGAATAGCGCTTGTTTAATATTCAGATTCGACGAATGTATAACGCTTATTTGTTTTGTAATTAACAATCGGCATTATGAACCGGTATAAACAATAATTACCCTCGGAATATCTATTAACAACTAATTCGACGGAAATTAAATTTGATTGTCGGTACAAATAAGCTCTTATTGAGCATATTGCGTATATAAATGGAACGAATAAGTTTTTTAATAATTATTTTGCATCAAACTGATATTACAATTCTTAGTAATATTTAGCTATTCGCAATTAAACTTAATTGAGAAGAATTTTCAATCTTTACAATCATATAACATAATTGATGGTTTTCTCTTTAAAATAATATGTGAATTTTCACAAAATGTATACTGAACGGTAAAAATTATTTCCAAATGTGAACATAAAATTCATAGACATTAATGTTCAATTCGGATCGATTTGTATCTGCCCTACTTACGAGCTTTTATTTTGATGCATTTATCAACTTCGTGAAGCCATTCTGTGACATCCAGCCAAGTTCCGTCTCGCTAGTTTAGATCGCACAGACGACCAATTTTCGGTCGTCTTGGATGCCGCTGCTCTTCTATTTCGACTCAGGGCGCTAATTACACCCGGCTCCTTTGATTCAATAGATGCATGCAGTCATTACAGTGGAGATGTGCGAAATGTTCTCTGTTAAGGATACACTACATGCGCGGTCTAGCACTTCAGTTTGTCTTGTACGTAATCCGAGAAGAAGGAAGTTCTCGTTGCAAGTTCGCGGCGGTTCGACACGTCGTTTACACTGACGAACTTTAGTTAAATTAGATTCGATAGATACCGCTCCTAATTAGCAGCTCGCCGAGCCTCTTCGAGTATCCTAATATCGTCCGCAAAAGTACTGGAACTAATACTTGGCAACAAACTTCTTCGATCCGATTGCTCCGTAAATATCGTAGAAAGTTTGTTTAACATGTTCGCGAGATTGGTGATCGATCTTCCGCCTTGAAAGATATATATATATATTTCGTTTTTTATTATATACTTATTAATTTCCTTCCCTTAAGTAAAGTAAAAGAAATATTTCGCGAAGAAATATAGCTTTTTCTCTCCATCAAGAGTAGACTTTTTGGGTTCTTGCATCTTCAATTAAAATCAAAATTTTTCAAGATTAGAAGGATATTAGAAAGATTTTACTTTATTCAAATACGCATATAAACAATTAAGTTTTGTATTTTGTTATCAAAATGCGATAAAGGAATATTTATGTGGATTAGATAATTGAGATTCCGTTCTCTAATTGGTAAAGCATTTGTTTATTGCGTCTGTACGTTACTCTAGCGTTTATCACTAGAACGCTTGGAATTCGTTTAGACTAAAATTCCAGCTTATCCAAAACGTAACGTGAAAGGGAATTCAATTTGCCTGTCGAGATTTCACGGTTATATACAAACTTCGTATACATTCAAAATTCCGTATTTCGTTTGGCGAAATTTCTTGTTTTTTAAAATTAATACTATTGTAAACGCGAACTGTAAGAAATGTAGGTAAAAATGTTTATTCTCGACAATATTTGAAACTATATAGAAATTGTCTCTTTCACGCCCAAAGTATATTAGTCATATAAACACACTGTTGAAAAAAAATATTTTTAGAGTTGAAAAGAAAGAATGTATGAGAATATGTTGCAATCACAGTCGATATGGTACAATCAAATAGTAGATGTAAATTTGTCAGGATCGAAAACAGAATATCGTTAAAAATATTTTTATGTTTGATTAAACGTGACATCCGTACAATTTTATTCGTTACAAAAGATAGGCAGAGTAGTGTATCTATCTTTTTTGTGACACCCTATTTTTTTCTTGCGAAAAATTAAGACGCGCTGAATTACGACGGTAGATGCACGTGCAATTTTTATGTAAAATTAATCTTATTACCCCGAATATTTAATTTTCAAAATAAAGTCTAATCATCGCGTTGTAGCATCTGATGTAACGTAGCAATCTATTAATTTGCAGGTCCGGAGGAGGAGAAACTGCTTGGTTCGATATTACTTCCTTCGTACAGAGTTACCGCCTGCAAACCCGAAGACAAAGTCAACAAGAAGTTTGCCTTCAAGGCCGAACATGCAAACATGAGGACTTACCACTTTGCAGCTGACAATCGCGAGAGCATGAACCAATGGGTGAACGCACTTACTCTGGCGACCCTTCTACAAGATCCTAATCCGTAAGTTGTATATGTTCATTTTTAACTCGTATAAAAATTTACGTGAACCTTGTACGTATGCTATGAGCTTACCAATCATCATAAATTATTATCGATCAGAAATTAAGCGAAATTATTTATTGAATTCTAATAAAGAAGTGTCAATTTAAATTGAAAAACGTACATTTCGACGTTTAATAATTATAGGTTTGTAAAGAGAAAAGAGTTTGCATGTTTTATCGCTTTTGTCATCACACATGTTGAATAAATTAACGAATGTGAGAGATGAAAAATGTGATGGCTGAATCGATACAGAACTGATTGTTTTTTTTTTTTCTATTATTGTAATAATCGCATTCTCTCGTTATTACATTGGTTCACTTTTATCCTTTACACATCTGGCGCCTCTTTGTGATAATGTTCTCTCATTTCATACTCTCCTGCTCGTAATTCTCCTCCGTTTTATGATATCGCACTGTACTTTGAAATTACGGAGAGACCGTTCAATTTTGTGTCTCGTTTTTCATATCTGACTTTGTTTTCTCAAATATAGCTCTTTTCAAAAATTCATGAATTCCGTGTTTGAATATTATGAAAATTTTGCAGTACACGTTGCATAGATGTTTTTTTTTATACCGGAAATTTTTCGCAAATTTGCGACAACTTACTGTTTACTTTTATTTTACGGAAGAATAAAATATCCCTCTCTTCAATGATATTATTAATTGCTCTTCTAAAAGATGTTATCTTTTAAGATGGCATTGTGACATTAAACATTATTCGAAGTGCACTCGGCGATTCGAGCGGGAATCTCGAAAGTTACTTCTGTAATAGAGTGACGATGAACGTCTCTTTGATATTCCACAAAGGAAATTGGGGCGTCGCAACTACCAGAGTGGTTTGTTTGCGCGAAAATATCGCAACCGATGCAGCGCATCTGTCGTTCGCACGTTATCGCGGTGTAACTAATCAATCTCGTTAGTTAGTTTTCCGAGAGTTATTCGGCTTGCGAAATAGCGACGGTGGATGAGGCCCCAACTAGCCCATTGTTCATTTAGCGCATTGTCAGCGACACGTCGATACGTACAATGAACGTTCGTTTTGAACGCGAATGAATTTGGTCATCATTTGCCTATCTATCTATCTATCTACCTAAAAATCGATTCACATAGCCGAAAACGTAGATTTTTAACATATATGTCTTCCGGCCGCTGCGGGCAGAATAATGGCGAGGATTAATTTTTTGCATTTAGTAAAATGAAAAAGTTTCTCGAGCTCTGGTCATGAGATAAATTTTACTTTAAACGCAGAATCGGACGCGCGATGAAAAGAGAGTTAAAAAATCAATTCTTTTCATTTATACATATATATATTCAATATACGTATTCATGTTAATTTTAATTAATACTGTATATGAAAATTGCTAAACATACGTTATATCTTGTATTTTAACTTTATTAAATTCAATTATCGATGATCTGTATTGATTAATAGTTAAACACCTAATAAATTCGACGTGCAAAAAACTTATGTATCATAGTACAGGTTAATATTATAGCTCTCAATTTTACTTTTTTTTTTTTCAGTGGCGCAGGCGAGGCTGCAGTGGTAATCGAGATAGCGCAGGACGGCGAGCGAAGCGCCCGGCCTAGCGTCTCGTCGATCTCGTCGATCTTGAATCAAAGCGCCGATGATAGCGACTCTGGCTTCCATGGCTTTCAATCGCGCGACGATCCTAGCCACGCCTCGAACAACAACTCTAGCCCGAACAGCGCGAACACTGCCTCCTTCCCAAATTTGAGCAGTAGCAATAGCAATGGCAATTCCGCCAACAACAATCATGCGAGCGACTCGAGTCATCCGATGATGAACGGTTGGGTGCCGCAGCAATACGGTCAGCCTAGCACCTCTCAACCGCAGCAGCAGCAGCAGCAGCAGCAGCCGTACGGACATTTGCAACAACTGCAACCGGGCCACTCGCACCAGCATCAAGCATTGTTGCATCAACATTTACCGCATTCGAGTACGCTTCCGACTCATCAGTCGTCGCATCCGCACAAGCATATGATCCAACAATCACCGCAACAACAACAGCCGCCGTCTCAACAATTGCCGCATCCCATTGCGAGCAACATTCAGACGGTGCAGCCTATGTCTCGAAAATTCGGACAGCCGATTTATGCGAACGCACCGCCAAAACCGAGAAGATTGACGGACGGTTCCACCGAGTACTCGACGCCGTCGCCGGATCCGGATTATCGGAAAAGCCCGGTCTCGCCGGACGTTACGGTGACCAGTAAAAGCCCGATGTCCGACTACGAGAGGAACAATACGATTTACGGCACGCGAATGAATCAGCCGTCGCAGCATCAGAGTCTGCGGACCGATAAGTCGGGCCTGAATTACGGCTACGGTCAAATCGTGCAACCGACGGAGAGGAGAACCCCGGACACGTACGGTCGTAGCGCGAAACCAAGAACCAGCAGCAGGAGCAATGGCGATTACGAGGAACTCTATGGAACCCCGCCGCTCTATCAAAGACCCGCGGGTCCGGTGGGTTATACGAAGGGCGCGTCCCCGGCGCCAATTCCCATTCCCGTTTACGCGCAGCAACAACATCTTCAACAACTGCTGCATTCCCCCGTCACGCCGTCGAACAGTGAGTCTCTTTGTTTTTTACCTTCTTCTCGTAGCGATGCCCACAAAGGCGCTTGTAATTAGTGCCGCAACCGGGTAAAGGTGAAAATATTTTACGCGGATATATGTTTTAAAAGCAACGTCTCTCTTCTCTCTATGTTACAAAGCAAGCTTTCTTATCGAACCGTTAAGATGCGCGTCCCGGAAATTCTATTCTGGCGAGCAATCTTGCCTTCGTATATTTCGTTGTATTGTCGTGCGAAGAGAATTCGAGTCTAATATTAAAAATAATAATAATAACGGCGCTTTGATAATCTTACCGTGCCGCGCGAGCGCGGCGATCTCCAGCATATTTTGCGCAATATCTCTTTGATGAATAGATCTTAAAGTTTTTTATTCTAAAATCTTCAAAAAGTTGCTGTGCGTCCATCGCAATATGATACAACGGGCTTTGTATTTTTTTATTATCACAACTGAATATTAATTTACAGTGGTGCTCACGATTATAAAGTTATATTCTTTAAATTAACTAAGAATTTAAGACTGATTTTACATTATTATCGCGTTATTATAAAAATCGTAACGCTAATGAAAGTTACAACGACCTAGATCTTCTTTTTGCGAATTGCTATTCTCGTGATAAAATTCGCGCTTTTCTTTTATTCCGCGTTACAAAGGATCTTGAATAATGTTGTAATCGATAGAGCTCGACGGTAATATAAAAAGGACATTATGATTTGCTCCCTTTAGTGCCGATGGTAAGGCAGCCGAGAACTCAACCGCCACCGCGACCGCATAGCGCAGATTTTCTAGAATACGAAGCGGCAAGGCGACCTCAGCAACAACCCGCGCAATGCGAGAGGCCGCCGGATCAGCAGAGACGTCCGCAGAGGCCTAAGTCCAGTCTAGATATAGTGAATCCGTCAGATGTGACTAACGACGGTTACTTCTATTCCGAAGAAAGGTACGTGAATTTGTCTTTTACGTTTTATTGCGCGAATATATTGAGGCCAAAAAAAATTTACTTCTATGAGAAACAAATATTGTATCGCGCGGTTGTATTTAGATACGCGGCGCAGATGCGGCAGTCTGCGGTTTATTTACATCAAACACCCCAGCATTATCAACAACAGTGGAATCAGTCTCTCTCGCGCGTTACGATGCAGCCGAAACTGCCGGGTATCCGCGATAAGACCGACGAGAATAGAATATCCATATTGCCGGATTCCACCTGCCCCGCTCTGAGACGCACACAGCGAGATCACGTTCATGGGCAACACACGATGCCCGCTCAGTCGCTGACGCAGAGACATTCCGAGTGAGTCACGCAGTACATTATCCGAATACATAATTAAACCGCATGCAGAACCTGTTTAAGATATTTTGTCGAATTAAGGAATTTTAAAATATCGCTTATATAAATAATATAGTTGCTTGTAAAATTGGAAAAGGATTTATGAGATAATTAGAATTTATTTCACAAAAGAAATTATATTCTTTTGTGATATATACGAAAAAATATACCGATTTTTTTTTTATATCTCAATTTCTGATTTCTATCAGGATAATGAGCTCCGACCCAAAATTTCGAAGATCCTTGCGCGAGAAGAGCTACGAGGCGAATGGCCGCGAAGTACTAACGCATGGCGGTGAGGATAACACGATTCCTCGAAGAGTACCGCGTGGCGAGTACGACGGGTGGGGGAGAACGACGGGTCACAGTGTCCACGGAACCCACATCACTCAGACGTATCACGCCGGTCACGCAGGTGGTGGCAGACGATGGAGCGAGCAGCAGCAGTTTTGCAGATCGGCGTCGGCGCGTCTGCCAAGGACACGGCATCCCGCCGCGCTTGATCCCGACGACGACGACTACGCCGAGAGGTCCTCCGAGCAGGATTCGCGGGATGGTGAACGCAAGATTCAACAGGTAAGAAGAAGAAATTTAACGTTCTACATTCATTTTCGCGTGAATATTTCTCTTTCAAGATATAAACTTTGTAATATGATTTTCATATTATGTTGAATATATTAATTCTTAAGTTTTAATCCGTAAGAGATATGTTTAACAGATCCGTATGTTTTTTTTTTTTTAAATTTGTTTTATAGTGAAGTCAAATTGTGTGTATGGTAAATACAATACATATCTTATAGTTTAATTGAAAGATTCTGTCTCTACAAGCAAATAATCATAAAAATTAAATCTAATGATTTCCAAATCAATTTTACATTTTTACAAAAATTAAAAAGTTTATCTTGCAGAATAATTATAAATGAGCGAATTTATTTGGCCATTCTCGTGATACAAATCAATAAATGTTACATTAAAATAAGTTTTGCGATATACGAATACGTTGCCATCTATTTCAAACTCGCTTGTATCCCGGAAAATTTAGGATGAGTCATGGAGCAAGTTGTTTCTTTGAATCAGGTACCTGTAGGTCATCAGCATTGCTCGTATCAACTCATACAAGACCACCATGTCGGTAACATTGGTGGACGAGCATGATTCACGCGATAGCTCTGTTGCATACCTACAGCTTACCTTACGTCATCTCGATTCTTCGTGTCTTTGCTTTCACCATCGTTTTCACTCCATCATTATTATTGTCATAACGTTACTCAAACTATATTAATAATTTTCTCCATTTTATTAAATTTGTATTATTATCGTAAGTTTTACAATTGTTTATTGCTAAAATTGATGTCAAGCAGTACAAATCTATTCTTCTGCGATTCTTCGAAAAACAGTATAAAATATTTTAAAAACATTTCTACATGAAGGGGATAACAAAAATGATATAATTTTGGATTATATTACTAATAATAATTAATATTTTAACGTTTCGTAAATTGAAATATATATTTTAAGCTTTATTTTATATATGTAGAAAATTGGAAAATTAATATATAAATATATAAAATATATAAAGATTTAAAAGTAAATTTGCTCGGTGTTTATAAATGTAAAATGTCCTGAACTTACCTTACATATTTTCGTAGATAGTTAATGAAGGGTTACGATACACGTCTTACAGCGCGAAGAGTCGATGAAGCGGTTGCTGGAATGGAAGCAGCGTATGCTGCAATCCCCGTTGACGCGAAAGCCATCCGGTTCGGCCAATCGGGGCAGGGCACAAAATGATCTTTCGAGTTACTACAAGCAACAGGCGCTGCTGGATTTGGCAGCGCACGAGGCCGCTGTGGCGGAGAGTCGTCACTCTCGTAGGCGGGAGGATGGGCATCGTTCGCATGTCAGGAGCAAGAGCTCGGACGGCCGTCGGGCTGCCGTCAACGTGCCACGATATAACAGCTATTCCAGCGATGACGAAGGTAGGGACAGCTCGCCTGAACTTATCATTTAAGTGGTAGCTGCGTCGCTCCGCGTAACCGAGGGACCCGGTCGCGAAATGTTGAAAATTGCACGGACAATTAATTCTTTTAAACGTTTATATCGAGCATGTATGTCCGAAATAAAATATATATATATTTGAAAAAAAAAAATTATTAATATCTCCGATAAAATCGATCTTTTGCATTTTGTTTTAAAAAAAGAAACTCGATAAACTTTTGCTTTAAATAGTTTTCATTATTACGAGTCCCTCGAAAACGCTCTGTCTGCGATGTATGATCAATTTTAAAAGTAGATAATTGTCTAATAAGCTAAAAATAATCCAAATTCTAACACAATCATATGTAATTGCTAACACGGTGAAAAATCCATTATGTGCATATTTGCTCGCGGAAAGTAAAGCATTTCTTCACGAGAACGCATGTCAAGAATTTTGTTTTTTGTCATTGGTGCTCGTGTTATACGTATAATTAAAATATCTCAAGCGCTATGTCAGTCGATTTTGTATTGATTCTTTTGTAGCAAATAAATTATCAGCATGTTTCTATTTCTTAATCAATGACATATGTAGAGATGTCATGATTCAACAAATTAAAAAATATTTACTCGATTGTGGGAATACCGCAATTAATGCGAGGCGTCTGAATTATTCGCGAATTGCAGAAAGTTGTGAAATCGAAGTTGTATGTTTTTTCCTTTTTATTTTTGTTTCTTACTATATTAATACATAATCGTCGAGGAAACGTAGAAGAGTTCAACGAAATGCGGAGTAAGGATGAAACGAGAAGAAATTTAAAAAACAAATAAGTAAAACATTCGTATCTGCAAGTGTTTCTCCGTGGGGCTCCTTCTATCTGCTGCTGTTGGTCTAGGCTGACTGGTGAATGGGAAACGATTAACAATCTTAAAACTTATTAACTGTCCAAATGATCGAATATTAATATCCTTTGCGATTTAACACCGATCGTAATTAGATTATCGTAGAAAATATGGGTCAGCATGGCATGCCAAAGAATTTCACTAACACTATTTGCCGTAGCTACGCAATTACGATCGCATTTACCTTCCAGCTCGCGTGTTCGCTACTTACGATTAACCGCAAAATCAATTAGTCGATTATCGGGATCATTGCACGATTGAATCGCGCAACAAAATATTTTTATCTTTAACGTGTAATTTATTTGTCAAATTTTTATCGAAAATTTGATTCTATATTTCTGAGATGTAAAACTCTTCTTACAAATTAATCAATATCAATATATATATATAATTTTTTCAAAAGATATTCTAATTACTTGCGATTAACGTAGATGATTGGTACATTTTTACTTATTAATGCAATGATCTTCGATGTCGTTACCGCGCTTGGCGAACTGGCTTAGTTCTGTATGGTGGGTGTAGAAAAAAGGGAATGTATAAATTTAAAAAAAGATATCTTTTCTCATACACATTCGTAAGTAACGGACGTTACTCGTGTCTTTGTGTTTTGTAACGAACGAATTAGAGCTGGGAGATGTCCGGAGGAAGCGCACGCGCAGACCCACGCATGCAGGAAGGAGCCCCCGGCACGCCGGCGACGACCGGTCATCGGCGGCAACGTCGATCGTCCAGGATCTCACGATATCCCCCGGCGGGATCGGCGGCCGCACGAGCGTTAATCAGACGTCGCAGTTGCAAATGTTGAACACTCGCAAGACGAATTCGGGTGGAAGCGCGGGCGGCATACCGCCGGACGCGGGTTACGACGAGGTGAGTTTCCCGCCGCTGATGAGAAACGATTACGGGTATGCGCCGTCAATGATGGATAGGCGATCGTCGTCCAGGAGGTCGAATCCAGATATTACGTACGAGGATTCCGCGATCAAGCACAAGACTCCGAAGAAACCGTTGGGAATCCTGAAGACCTCGACCGCTTACAGCTACGACCAGCGGCAATTCGACGGGCAACAAGCCGGCGGTAAAATCGAAAACAACACATCGGATAATACGCGTGAATATTGCAGCAGCGAGTTATGGCAGGTACAGAAAAACGTACAATGGGATGCCAAGGACGATAACGATGAATGGGATCCCGGCATCGACGAGAGTAAAGTTATTAAAGAATTTTCTTATCAGTATATTAATCCTAAGAAAACGGCGGCGTCACCAAAAATAGAAGATGAGAAGTCCGAGATCATGAATCTGGTGCAAAGCCGAATCAGGTCCTTTGAGATGAATATGGACAGCGCCAGTCCCGCCACAATGGTGTTGTCTATGCAGGAGCCGCTGAAGGTGTCGCCGCAACAGGCAACCGAAGCTCATGTTTCGAAACTCGATTGCGCGAATAAGACCTCGTCCGTCATACGTAGCTTTGCTCTGGGTGATCCGAGCGTTTCGGAGAACGCTTCTAAGCACAAGAACGTAGAAGGACACGCTAAGCAAGCTTCGACTGACAGTAACAAGTCGGTCAAAGATCTCCTAGCAGACTTTGAACGAAAATCGCAACAGATTAATCAGCAAAAGTGTGAAAAGCGGCAAGAATCAAAACATTGTGAAGATGACGGTAATAATGATACGTTACAGTATGACATTGACAGTAATACGGAACGTCGAGACGATGGAAAATTTGTCGAAAAAGAAAATGGAGCAGATGAAGTCGTTGCGCAACGTTTCGTTGCGGATACCCTCTATACTAGTATGCAAGTGCAAAATTCTGATGAATCTCGAAGCAAGATGATCAGCTCGAAAGACAATCTGACTGAACAATACGTGCCATCCGATGATTTAGATATTATCTCGAGTTCAAATTGTGCCAGAACAAGCATAACTGAATCTTTGTTAACGTATGGCGATCAATTCCCCGATGATAATGATCCGATCATTTCTATTTCGAAGCAAGAGGACATCAACAGCGAAGATCATTATCTTCCTATGTCTCCCAGAAAGGCTATATTAGATCCAAATAGCGACGACAGGCCGAATCCTAAGATAATGGAAAGCCTGTTTGCCAACCTGGAGCATGAGGAAAGCTCGTACGTGGAGATGACACAGAACGGAATGAATCGCTCTCTTCTGGCACCAAATGAGGACGGTGTAAAGCACGATTCCGGTGATTATTCCACGCTGGACACATCCCATTACGAATTCGTTTGCGTGTCGGACAGCAAAATGGAACCGGTGTACATGGAGGTGAGTCAGTTATCCGAGAAGGAAGACGAAAATAATGATAAAACATCCTTGACGAAGAAGAAGATCAACGAGAATTCGCTGCATTCCAGAAGTGATTTGCCCGACATTCTGACGGCGCTTAAATCCGACAGTTCCGACGCCGACGACGAATCGTCCAAGGATCTCGATTCTATAGACGCGCCGCGGCATCCACGTTTCAGTTTGTCCGACACCTTTCGACCAGCCTCCTATTACTTGGGAGCTAGTCGTAACATGATCGCAGAATTACATGACTCATCGGACAGTGAACTGGTCTCCCCGCCGCCGATACCGACCTCACCGCCACCATTAGATGATTTAGATTCATTGGATATGCAGGAATCATTAGAAATAAAAAAGGTCTCGCCTCGGATGGTTATGACAAAAGATAATTCGATGAATCGCGACTCTCCAAAATCTTGGAACAAAGCGATGGGTCAGGTGGAAACGCATAGGCCGCCGTCAAGATTTTCCGACGCGACCATCAGCTCCACCTTCAGAGGCAGCAGGATATCACTGGAGAGTGCATCCGGGAGCGATTCGGTCGAGCTTAGAAATTCAGAGGAGGAAGCCCGCCACAGACAACTGAAAAGGAGACCTGTCAGCGACGATGTTTGCGAAGTTTTGGACAGTCTAGATGAGTTGGAGTCGTTGGGAAGTCGCTTTGACGGCGCGAGTATCGACCTCGATCAATATTTGGAGGAATTGCAAGCTAGAGATGCATTTAACGTGGATCTTTATGCGAAGGATCTGAGCTACAACAGCATTTACGGATTTAACGAGAACATGCTAGTGGTCGATAAACTGCAGAAAACCACGTGTCAGGATCTGTCGAGAAAGATGAAATTAATGTCCAACAATCTCGACCGACCATTCGATTACTCCAGCAAAAACAAGACTGGCTCGGCGAGCAGTCTACCGTCTATGAGAGTATCCGATCTACCCCCTGCTCATCAACACTCGCAGTCTTTCACTGGTGATACGCATTACGAGAACGTTGCGAGCTTCTCGCCGCTTCGCAGTTCGCCGGCGATTCGACCCGACAGCGATGAACCGCCGCCGCGCGACAGGATGCAGAGCGCGTCGCAGAGCATTAGTGCACTGCCAGTTTCTCACAGCAGGGATTCGAGTTACTCGAATGCGTCGGCCGCGGCGTCAATCGCGACGTCCATGGTCTGTCAGAGACCCGCCAGCGCGCAATCCTCGATGTACTCCGCCGTCAATGCGTTCACGTCCTCGGTGAATCGCGCCAACGCGTACACGGAGCAGAGATTCTCGTGCCATTCGAGGTCCGCCAGTCACGACACGTGTGTGCGACACGTGTTACCGAATCATCGATCGACCTCCAGCCAGGACTCGAGTCATTACCCCAGCCCGACACCAGCATTGCAGACCGCTAATCCCGTTTTGCAACAGTCGTATTTGCCGAACGTGAGCGAACAGCGTACTCAGAGCGATCAATCGGGAGCGCCCTATTACTATTCCGATCTCCAAGCCAGTGTCAACAGTGCGAGCGACATGGAGCTTGCCAAACCGATGATCGGTTATACCTCGCGACTACCTCAGCTCAACAATCAGAGGGACGACGCCGCGATTGGCTTGAACAAGCGTAATGACATTGGTCGTATAGTGAATCCGATCGCGCGACAGATACCGCGGCAGATTCAAGTAGACGATATAGACGAGGCTAGACGCATCGCCGCGGAGTTAAGACGTACAACTTGCCAACTGTTGGGCGACAACAAGGCCGCTCTCGTAGATAAACGTAACTTTTACGAGGCCGATACACTGCGCCGAGTAAAGTCTACAGATCCACTGCCAGATGTATCGTTGCCCGAGGCCAGAAACTTGTATCCCCACGGTCTTAGAGATAAATCTGTTGATCCAGGCAGCATCGATAATACCGAACCGACACACATCGCACAAACGTCTCATCGTCGGTCGAGATCTCTAGAGGGATTACTCGACGACGTTGGTCTACAAAATTTAGTAGAGCAGCGAAACCGAGCTAACCGAGCGGCGGCGACAGCGGTTTCAGTCGCTTCGACCAGTCAGATCGAAGCAACACTGCAGAATTTGTCGTCATCCGACGATCATGGTGCTACGACTGATAATAATTTCCATACCGAGGATCCTTGGGAGCAGGACAGTCTCTGGCGCGAGAGTCTGAGAAGGGTGAGTCTGCGGAATGCCAGATCTTTAGATAATCTGGACAGTCCGCCGAGACCTGGAAGGCACGGTGACACTAAGTCACGTGGTAGGATCACCCGAGGAGCGACTTACGTGAATGACAACATCACTCTACGCAGGGACATTTGCACGGAAGAGTCATCGTGCGGCGAGCGGTCGCGAGTCAAACGTAGAACGAAACAGGATCACGATCATCAAACGCGAAAACGATCGATCGAGAACGATGACGATGGCGACGATGGCAACGACGTCATCGCTTATGGAACCTCGATGGAACGAATCGGCGCGGGTGGCTACGTATGGGATCCGCAGAACGAAGCCTACCGCAAATCCACTACAGCGGACCACAGGAATCATTTTTTAGAGGACGGCAACCTTCCCCCGGCTCGCTCGATTCCGGACGTCCGAATGTCCGCGACGTCGTTCGAGCTCGACCGAGAGAAGCTCCGCCAATGGGACCTGTTATCGAGCGCCTGCTTACTCCAGGAACAGCAGCGCACCTCGATGGCGGACTCGGGGCGAGGGTTGCCGGTCGCGGAACAGCCTGGAGAAGCTCACGATTCAAGACTCGTCGTTGTCGCGGCGACAACGACGACGACGATGACGATGACAATGACAATGACGATGACGATGACGATGACAACAACGACGACGCCGACGACGACGACAACGATACCGACAATGAGCACGGAGATCGACAACGGGCAGGTAAACGTTATCGTAAAGCCGATCGATACCGCGGATGTACGCGACGTCTTGGCGACGAAGATGCCGATCAAGCAGCAGGAACCGTGTAAACGGGCTGCAGGTGAGTGGCTCCTCAACCATGCTGGAGTGTACAGGCAGTGACCGTACGAGGTCGTGTTCCAAATCGCCACACGACCGGCCGACCGATTCGTCCCGACGTGACCACGGATCTTGTGCGATAAATGTTTAATCCTAAATAGAGAGAAGCTATAATAATAAGGAAAGGTTCCACACGTACATAATTTTTCAGCCTATATTTTATAAGTATAATAGAAATTTGATATAGTCATTCTCGTCTTATATAATCTTAATTTTCGTATTTGAACAATTTTTTCATAAGAGCAACTGTTATCTTGCTTAATTTCTTCTGTCAGTGATTCAGACACTCGATAGTTCTTTACAAAAATAAACTTATTTGTGTAAATCTTCACATTTTGAAACTTGTACTCGTTCGATTCTTTAGAAGTAGAAAATTGTAATGATTTTGCAAAATATTAATGATTAAGCAACAGCTAAGCCAGAACTCGCTCTTTAGGATTAAACACAATGTTCTCGCTACCAAATGTACCTGCGCTTGCGGTAGCATACATAGCGATGCAAGCCGCTTTCTTGTAATTATGGACCAGGCCGTGTATGTGTGATTTATAGTTTACATTTATTCACGACTTCTTGCCAATTTGTTGAATCCGAGAATCAATTTGAATAATGCAAATATAATTTAGGACGAATAAAGTTTTATAATTGATGCGAGATGGAACACGGCCTGGTACGTGTATGAATGAGTGCGTTTCTGAGATGATTATAAACATAGTGATTCATCGTAATTTACTTCAATTATTCGTTACGATTGATAACGCAGATCGAATTTTCATTGCGCTAAAATAGATAAATAGCAATGAAATACTAAATTTATGCTATTATGAAATTATGGTGAAACTGCAACTGTGTGTCTGTAGTTGTCTATGTATGAGAGTGCATGTATATTCTTAAAATATATTAATCATTAAGATTTACATCACACAATCGCATCGAAAAAATTGTTGTAATCCAAGACGGTTATGTTTTCTATTTAATTTTTTCTTTTTTTTTTTACTTATTTCTTAGCATGCCAGTTAATTAATTCGTAATGTAAGTATAAGTCATGACATTATTATTATAATAAGGATAACGTTTCTTTGTCAAAAATTCTAGACAACTTTTTTCAATATTCTTTGATTGATTCCCACATTCGAGTAATTTCAAATTTACACCTTTTATAGGATCTCATTTTCGCGCATTTTATAATCTGCGTGCAATCAGAGCTAAATTACGACAAAATTATTGTCATATGTGATATCGTTTAATTTGGCCGTCTAGGCGATTTTTTAGAATATATTGTCGCCAAAATACAGAGTTCTAAATAGCTCTCCTTTTTTAAACATATCTCTCATGATCAAGCGAAAAATCAATAAAGCTGTCTTTACGAAATACAGTGACTGCCATTAGCAACGACATTATTAATAATTGCAGAAATTTATTCAATTTTAACTAAGGGATTCGATTATACTACTTTAAGCATTTATTAAGATGTGTACATATATAACTCGTTATACATATAAATTGTACAAAAAGCTATCCGACTGAAAATAAATGAAGCTAAAAGCAGATAGAGATACACCCAAGCCACTATCTTTAGCAATCCTAGAAACTTGAATTCGTTTCTGATGAGCAGATATTATTGACAGCGAGGATTAAATTGACGATGTAAAATATATTTCATAAATAGATAAAATTAGTTTAAATAAAAGCTAGGAGCACTAAGAGAGAGAATCGATACACATTTTTCTTCGTCTCGATTAAAAAATTTCTCGCAGAGAGAAAGAGAGAGAAAGAGATAGAGAAAAATGTGTAATTATTTTTTTTTTCGATTCATGGAATTTATCATGAAAAAAATATGTAAGATGTAAAACTTACGTGATTACAGTATAATTAATTATCCGTTATTATTATTCCCTGTGGAAAACTTCGAGCGTAAAGAAGTCACGATCTCGTTACTTAGGCGATTAAACGCGTTTGATCACGTGCACCGACACGTCCGGCGATTAATCGAGAACGCTCTAATCGCCCTAATTAATTTTCTTCAGAAAACTTTGTTCGCTAGTTAATTTTTCCTTCGAGAGGTGATAATATCTTTACGGAGCGGCTAAAAGACCACTTGAGTGACAGCCGTCTGTCGCTCTCGAGATGATCCTTATGTTTTCCAACCGTCATATTAATCGCGCGTCAACCGCCTTAATAGCGGAACAGTATTCGTAGCCGATTCAGAAACAGCTTCCTCGGCAATGGAACGACTTTGCACAATATATTGGCAGGTGCAGGAAAGTCGTTGCATTGTCGCTAACGTTGTTTGACGCAGCGAACGCATTATCGTAATCTATGTCCGCGCGACGCGAAGGGCAATGACGCCATAAGTGCACCGTCGACATCGTCGTCGTCGGCGACTTGTTCGTTGCACTTTATGTCGGGTTCAATAACATACGCGAATGACGCGGGCTCTTGAAGTAGATAGGTTCTATACAGCCGCGGGCGATATCTATGGTTCGCCTGTTCGTTGCTATGATTCCTCGCGGGATCGTTAAATATCGACGAGGGAGAATGCGCGCCCGCGGACGGAACTCTTCTCCCGCGGTCCCTCGACTGTGCCCGATCGATTATGTGCCTGCCGTCGCGTGAGAAATTTTTTAGTCTTTCTCTTCCCCGATACTCTTCCCCTTTCCCCTTTGTGTGGCGAACACGAGGGAATACCGCGCGATACTCTATAATTAAAGTCCATCGGATTTCGAGGAATTATAAAAACCCAAAGAGAGAGAAAAAGAGAAGGAGAAAAAAGGGTTTTCGGTTGAAACCGCAAAAGAATTGATTCCTGACGGGATAATATTGGGTCGATATCGGATAGATTGCTATATGTACATTTGACATTCGTCCGATCGAAAAAGACAAGAGAAACTCCTATTCAGGATATTACAACCTATATATTTAATCGTAGGTTGTTTGAAATTTTCCAATGCCAATCGTGGTAATTACGATAACAACGATAGTTTAATTTAAGTTGTCAATATATTTTATTTCATCTCTCGAGCGTAGAAATCATCTATATAATTTCAGTAAAGTTTCGATTTTCGATATTACATGATTTATAAAGAAATCTAATGTTTTATAGATGAAAAGCATTTTTTTATGTGTCATAGAATATCGAAATTTGTTATAAGATGTTATAAAATTAATTTTATTTTCTTTTCTTATCCCTGTAAAATATGCTTGAGCATATCACATTCAACTTTGATAACACTTGATATCATCGCATCGCAAAAGGTCAAAGAGACGCGAAAATGGGATATTTTTACAATTGAAGTTCCAAAGCTTCTCTTGTCGGTGCAGCGCGTCTGTGATTGGCACTTTGGTAATGCGGTTTACCTCATCGATTGGCTGCCATTGACCTCGGTGAAAAATCAAACTTTCATTGTCCGTGTAAGCCGCAACGCGTTCATGCATGAGGGCTCATTTATCACATTTCAAGCTAGGAAAATAAACTATCTCGCGAAAAGGGCAATCGATCTATGTGAAAATTATAGAGAACACTTCTTACGTACGAAATGTGATCATCAAATTTTCGATAAGGAAGAAATAATTTCAAATTGATCATAAATCATTCTTTATCAGAGAATTTTTCATCTAAATGTTACACGAAGAAATGTATATTTAAATAGAATGTAATTGTATATTGATAAAATGATCCAAGACGAAAATCAAACATCGTAAATTCAAACTCGTAATTTTAATATGGAATAGAGAGAATAAAAATGAAGAAATGCATATTAATAGATATAGAAAGGAAAATGCTAGTGATAATTATGTATTTAATTGCACGTTACAAGAATCATCAAATGTGAAAGGGAGAATAATGATCTTAATTAAATAATCGCGCATCCAGCCAAATGAAATAAAGCAGCGTCGAATTTTAACAGAGTCTCACACATGACGTTTAAAACATTTTATTTTTGACAAGCTGGCGATGTCACACTGAGAGATGCAGAATAATGTCGCGATAATCTCTAGATTGTTATCGGGAACATTTAATTAAAAGCATCAGGCTGGCGAAGCATGAAATTGAAATAGCGAGATTTCACTAACGAAGCGTATAACCGTGAATGCATAATTTCGCTAAGATATCGAGATACTTTCGCTCATTCAATATCGATGTTTTTATATATGTTTTTATCTAAGAGTTTTATAGAATATATTGTTACATTGTTGGATTCGTATCACTTCTACTAATTAAAGAACAAAGTTTCTGAAATTAACGAATATAATTAACTTATTATATTACGCGGTATTCTCACGAGCAATTCCTGATGACCTATTCAACGTCCCAACAGTATCGATGCTCAATCAATTTCCAATCTATTGATATAATTTCAGAGCTATCGATGTTTAATTATATTATTAAAAATGAAATAACACAATAGCACAAAAGCACACATTTAGAAAATCATTGCTTCAATTAACATTAATTATACAAATATTCTTTTTTTTCTCTATAACAAAAAATAACAAAAATAAAGTTATATTAATTTATATATAATTCAGAATTTAAAAAAAAAAATTAAAAACAAGATTGTGTAATAATAAGAAAAACTATACATGCGCGCATATTTTTGTTCGAAATATCATCCTTCACGTTCGATCGTCGAATCATCGAAGCAACAGTTCCCGGTTGCGGGGATCTTTTAATCGGATGGGGTGAGACAGACAGCCTGGATTGTCCGGTCCAGATGATAGCAGCCGCAAGTCAGTCAGTCAGTCTGTCAGTCGGTGGCGCTCCACGCGGTTCCACGCGACTCCACGCGACTCCACGCGACTCCACGCGACTCCACGCGACTCCACGCGACTCCACGCGACTCCACGCGACTCCACGCGACTCCACGCGACTCCACGCGACTCCACGCGACTCCACGCGACTCCACGCGACTCCACGCGACTCCACGCGACTCCACGCGACTCCACGCGACTCCACGCGACTCC